AGAGAGAGAGAGAGAGAGAGAGAGCGAATTAATCACAGAATTCGCTTCGGACAGCGTAAAAGGAGGAGAGTCCTCTTAAGAATTAATAATGTCGCCCACAGTTGATGCAGCCTTGCAGCGCCTTACTGCTGAGATGCGCTTGGCTCGGCAAGATTCACGATTGCGGCAAGATCTTCAAGACGGTCAAGTCCAACGAGGGTTTCTGTTGCTCGTTCAATTCCCATTATGACCTAAACGTCGGACACTTGTAATGTCTACTGATATCACTTTCATGGAGCTATTACGCCAAGTTGGTGCAGAAGATTCGTCATACACTTGGATAAGATTGAAAATGAAAAAAGCTTATGCATTTTTTGGTAATTTGGAAAGGGATCATTGTGTTCACTTTTTTTCTTACTCAATTTCACTTGCTCAATCTAAGAATTGTAGTCAAAATTGTCTCAGAATCCAGGAAATATTTTTTTTAACATTTTAAACAGAAGAAATCCAATTTATTTGATCACTTTATCGAGCCATGTTAGCGAATTTCTCTCAATCTATTTTTATTAAAGTAAAATGATCTACTGGCTTGTATTTTTGAATAAAATAGAAGCTAGTATATTTAATATAATATCGAATAAAATTATATAATATTGCAACATTTTTGTTTGAAGGTTTTATTGGTTTTTATTTCCTCTAGTTTCTATTTTTTTTTAAATCGTGGCCTTTACTTGCACTAACGAATCACAAAATGATAAAATAAATTGTTTTCTTCTATTTAAAATATGAAAAAAATATTTTTTGGATACTGAAATTTTAATTATAATTTTAATTATAATTTTCGGATTCAGCAAGTAAAATTAAGCAAAAAAAAAAACAGGTGAGCTCTGCGTGCTTCCCAAATCGCCTAAAATGCATAGAATCCTTTCAGCACAATCGCCATTTCACTTCTATTTCATCTCGAAGGAAGCCGCTTGCTTCAATCTTTAGAGAACTATGGTTCTCTGATTTCTGATGCAAAATTTGGTAGAAAAAAGAAAAAAAAAGATAAATCTTCGGCACCAACTCGATACAGAATTATTCAACATTTAAACGCGTTATTTTACGCTTTCATCATTATCCCGCAGATCCAATGACACGTATTATAATTTCACCGATTTCAACGTGTCCTCCGAAGACCCGCCGGGTGTGCGCAAAATTCTGGTAACGCCCGATGTTTCTCCCGCGTTAATTTTCGACCACTATTCCGCACACGGTGTGTACGCATGTATGTACACGGTACCCTCTCTTGTAGAACGTGCCCGGGAGCGGCCGCGACGTGGGACTCGCGGTCGCCTTGAACATCGAGCCCGACAAGTACAAAGCTACCTCGCGGCCTTACGTCGGGGCCACCGTTATGATACACGACCCGATCGATTTCCCCGACATCGGTGCACACGTCGCGTCCGTGCAGCCCGGTCACGTCCTGGCGATATCCGTCGCCGGCACGTCCATCAAAGGTATGGAAAGTTTGCGGAGCATCCCTCTGGAGAAACGTTCGTGCTACTTCGACAACGAGGTAAAATTACGCGCTGTTTCGATCGCCGTTTGTGTTTTATAGAGAACATCCGCGGGCGAATGCACTTGCAGCGTATGTTTAAACGCTTCTTTTCGCGAAATTTCGTATTTCCACGTGAATCGTAATGAATACACCTGCAGGTACCGGGCGAGGTTCGCTACAGCTATCAATCGTGCATATCGCAGTGCATATCCCGGAACATATATCGTTTATGCGGCTGCCTGCCGTTTTACTATCCGGAGGAACGTGAGTGTGCGCAAGATAAAAAATTATTTAATAAAATAGATTTCTCCCTTGAACTAACATAGAGGTGTTGTAGTCCTCAATTCCAATTTTATCAATTTTATAATTTTATAACTTTGTATTTGGTAAGAGATATATATTTTTTTAATGCATTTATACACGATAATCGATGATATAATTAATACGAGTATTATTAATTAATAAGTACAATTAATATGATGTAATAATATCATAACAAAACAATACAATTAATACGATAACATATGTGATCTTCAATGTGCTGGCAGGTGAGGGGATCAAGAAATGTTACTTGCCCGACATAAATTGCCTTTTGCACGTTCGCAGTAAGAAAACGGTTTCACACATATTAATCACACATGTGCAGGGCTGGGTAGTGGCTAGTTAAAAAATAAAAGTTAAGTTAAATAATTTTAACTTAATTTAGTTACATTTTATCGGTAACTTTTGATTTAACTTCCTTAAAGTTACATTTTTAGCGCTTCTTACCCAAGAAAAAATACACGATATTTACAAATGTTTACGTTGATATCTATAAACTCAAATTTGAGAACGCTCGAGTTCTCGAGAATTCGAGAAATTATTAAAAAAAACAAGTTTTTAATGAATATAATAAATACAGTCTGGCCGCGGGAAGGAATCGCTGTTCGTGGACTGTCTATGCATTGAATCATGTTGAAAGAAGTCCCTCGAAATCGATTTTCTTTCTGCGACCCGACGGAAATAAATATAATAAATGTACAAATTATTTAGAAACCTTAAAATTATGAAATAAAAAATTTAACTTATTTTAACTTTTCAATTACTTTTTTTAGTAACTTAACTTTTAACTTAATTAATTTTATTATGAATTATATCTTAATTGAGTGAAAATTTTTAAAACTGTTAACTTTAACTTAACTTATTGTTAGTTAAAAAAATATTAACTTACCCAACTCTGCACATATGTATGCATATTACGATCAGATATGCTACATATCTGATTTGTATAGAATTGAACACAGTGCGATTTTTCTAAAATTCTGAACCAATATCAGATTTCGCGAAGACGAGAACTTGCAAAAGGTGTTTACCACAGTGCTCCGATATGATGTACAATATCGACCCGGAAAATATGAAAATGGAGGACGTGGGATTCTACTCTGATTTAACGTAAGTCTGCTCGTGTCTTTAATGAAAAAAAAGCCAGCTTTTTCTTCGCGATTATTCATATAATATTTTCACGAATATATTCTCATACTTTTTTAGGTACGGTTTTGATATAAACAATGTGTCTTTCGTGTACGTATTTTTCGGCGATGTGTCGTACGTCGAGTATCGCAAGGAGAATGTCATCAGCTGGGATTCACTTCTCGGTAAGTTGGATTCCCCGATTAGTCGACGACGGGGAATTATCGCTTATCGTTGATCGATCTAATTTGAATTCGGTATAAGAAATCTGACGAAGTTGCGCGAATTGTTGCAGCATCCTTCGGCGGTATCTTCGGTCTCTGCCTTGGTGGTTCCGTGATGAGCGTAATCGAGCTGGCTTATCTCGTGGCCAGGCAGCTCTACAGAAGGCAGCCCCGCAAAGGGCAGGAACAATCACGCACGAAATTGCCGCCAGCGTCGGAAGTATTCCTGTCGATCCCCGCCAAAGAGAAAGTTCAGCTGCAGAAGCCGCGGGACCGTGAGAGGTCGGATGACAAGCGTGTTCTCGTCACGTGGTACGAACCGGCTCTTCACCATCGTAAAACGGCGCGCCTTGACGATATGAATTATGTCAAACATGTCAAATTTTAATTAGGCACAATCATACTTTAATCGATTTTTATAACGAAGTTAAGATTGTCGAAAAAATTGTCTATGATTAAGAAACGATAAATGTGCGCATGTATTATTATGCTTATTAATTATTTGCAATTATTTATTACTATACGAGGTACAATTGGCTCTCGTAACTTCACGTGATTATTGCATCTATCGTGTTTTTAATGTGAAGATCTGTGTAGATAAATAAGATCATCCATTATCGCAATAATGTTATAATAGAAAAATTTCGCTCTGCAGCCTGACTGTTGGTGGAAAAAATTTTATAACAAAGCTAAGATTGTTGAAAAAATTTTCTATGATTAAGAAACGATAACTATAAGCGTGTATTATTATACGATTATTAATTATTTTTGATTATTTATTACTACGAGGTACAACTGGCTTCCGTAACTTTGCGTGATTATTGCATCTATTGTGTTTTCAAGGAAGATCTATGCAGATAAATAAGATCATCCATTATCGTTATCGCAATAATGTTATAATACAAATATTTCACATCTCACTCTGCCGCCTGGCTGTTGGTGGAAGAAATTTTATAATGAAGTTAAGATTGTTAAAAAAATTTTCTATGATTAAGAAATGATAAATGTAAGCGTGTATTATTATACGATTATTAATTATTTTCGATTATTTATTACTACGAGGTACAACTGGCTCTCGTAACTTTGCGTGGTTATTGCATCTATCGTGTTTTTAATGTAGATCTGTGTAAATAAGATCATCCATTATCATTATCGCAATAATGTTACAATACAAATATTTCATATCTCGTTCTGCCGCCTGGCTGCTGGTGGAAGTAAGCGATCGGTCCTCTCCTAGCATATCTTCTTTTTAAAACGTGCTCCGGAACTAGCATGGTTTTTAAATGCACGAAAAAGCGTGGACTCAGCACACAATACAGTATGAAATTCGTCGAGCTCGCTAGCGCGTTGAGAAGAGTCGCCCACATGCGAAAGCTGTAAAAATGCACAACGGAGTGAATAAATTAAATAAATTTTAAAACGGAAAAACGGTTTCACATGTATTTCAATTTGCGTTTAATTTTACACACACATATACACACACACACACACACACACACACACACACACACACACACACAAACAAACACATATACTATATATATATATATATATA